TGTGTTTCCTTTCTTCTCTTTTCAGCAGGGAATAAACCTTTACTTGTTCCTTTGCAGCCTGCGCATGCTGACGCAGCTGCCCACTTTAACACCGACAAATGTACTGTAGTCCTTAATTATTTTGTCTTTTTTATATTAACTGTGTATTGGTCGGATTGAGACGAAATAATTTCTAGAACCCAGCATACTCTGAGATTCAAGATTTACATCCCCACGTTTCTTTCATCATAAAAAAACTTATACTAAATACTTAAAGTATTTTTTCATACAAAAGAACATCTCAACAATGTCACGATACCGGTCCAAAAACATTTCTAGAAACGAACCCCTGTTCCTACCGTTGCTAGAAAAAGCTACGTCTTTGTAATCAATCAGTTTGAGGCTAACAAAGCTAGCATATTGTAACGCGACGGTTTCGGCGAGGAGGGAGACAGAAATCCAGGCACTTGTTAATTAACTGAGAACACGGCGCTTTATGAACCGATTCGAAATTTAAGAAGTTTATTTTCTTTTCACAAATAAATACAGAGAATCACAAAATAGGAAGTTTTACATTAATATATATATACATACTCAAAACAGTATATATATGAACACATCTCATGACAAAGTAACAATGACATAGCAACAATTTATCGTGTTCGGGTGCAAATCCCGTTCTTTTCTTTTACATGATAACGTTTATCACAGATTCTTGAGGTACAGTCCTACGCCCTCTATTTTCCACATGTTCTCTGCTCCCTCCCTCCCTTCTCTCCACTGATCTCTGAGGTAACAGTTCTCTCGGGTGATGGACAGGGCCAGGCTACCTGCTGCCTTGACTGGGACCTCGGTGCCTCTGAACACCCCCATGTTTCCCCACTGTGCACCACGGCCCAGGTCCTGTCAAACACGTCACGCCTCCGGCAACCGCAACAGAGGGGAGAGAGAGACAAACACGCTACAACACACTGGGGTGGTAGGTGGGGTTGTAGGAGTCAATTCGGGTAGTTACACAGGTA